AGGGCATCGACAGGGAGCTCTGGCCAGTGGAACTACAATACCCACAAGGCTTTGCGGCACTTCCGATTGGTCCTGAGAGGCTGGTGATTGGTTCTCTGTGAGTAGTCCTTGAACCCGGAAGTAATCTCCTAGATCCATGTGTAGTGGAGAGCCGGGAATTTAGAAGCGTACGGTGTGGATCCTAGGACCCGTGGACAGGTTGGTCCCGATCCACAACAAAGCTGCTGTGACTTTTGAGGGTTCAGCTGCATCTCGCCCCACCCAAGCTGTACCCCATGGAGTCTACGTTCAGCAGCCCCGCAGAGGCGGCCCTGCAACGGGAAGCGGGCGTTCCAGGCCAGTTTACCCTTCCTGAAGACCTGGACCGAGTGTATGAGCTGGAGCGAGTAACGGAATTTGTCTGCAATTTAGGATGTCAGCGGGTGAGGACTGATTTAGAGAAGGGGGCGGGGGGGGCGGACTCGCCTCTGGGCATGGGTTGCGGAAATTGGGATTTTGGGTGCTCTGTGGGGACTGGTGGGTTGAGAAAATAGTCCGCCCTCGTCGCACGGATTACCCACAACTCTGTGGGGCTTTGGAAGTAGGGGCTTGGAAAGTTTAGTGTTTCTTTTGCAGAGGCTTTTGGTGGAAGAGCGAGGTTGTCGCTGACTTATAACTTGTATTTACAGGTGGCCTTGCAGTTCCCTGACCAGTTACTAGGAGATGCTGGAGCGGTGGCTGCCCGGCTGGAGGAAGTTACAGGATCTAAGATGTTCATTTTAGGGGACACAGCTTATGGCAGGTATGGGATTTCCCTGCTCAGTGTCTGCTTCCAGTGAGTGTGTTTGCATGATGAGAAACTCCTGATGCCAGCTTCCCTCAGTGACAGTAAATTCCTAGCTTGGTACCATTTTCTCCACTGGCCCATTTCCCATTGATGACTCTTTCCAGGTAGGGAACACCTCTCACCGATGTTCTCTCCCCTGCAGCTGCTGTGTGGATGTGCTGGGCGCTGAGCAGGCTGGAGCTCAAGCCCTTGTACACTTTGGTCCTGCCTGCTTAAGTCCCCCAGCCTCCCTGCTGCCCATCACCTTTGTCCTTGGTCAGCGTCCTGTTGCTTTAGAGCTCTGTGCCAAGGCCTTTGAAGCCCAGAACCCAGATCCCACAGCACCGGTAGTACTGCTGAGTGAGCCAGCTTGTGCTCATGCCCTAGGTGAGAAATTATACCTTGATGGACGGAGGGGGTGGGTCCATGGCTGCATGCCTTAATTTCCCCTATTTAAGCACACTTCCCTAGAGCTCCTGTCCTCAGTTGGCCTAGCTTGTGCTCTAGTGCCACATTCAGGGACCTGGGGGTGAGGCATCTCTTATTTTGCCAGACTTCAACTCTGATGTCACCTCTTTCAGAGCCTTTGGCCACTCTCCTGCGGCCAAAGTACCAAGATCTGCTCATCTCCAGCCCAGCTCTTCCCCTGCCAGTGGGGTCCCTGAGCTCACAGCCTGAGTCACTGGAGCGTTTTGGGCGCCGCTTCCCCCTGAACCCAGGGAGATGTCTGGAAGAATATGGTGCCTTCTATGTGGGGGCTTCTCAAGCAAGCTCTGACCCGAACCTTGATCCGGATCTGAGCAGACTGCTTTTGGGGTGGACACCAGGACGGCCCTTCTTTTCCTGTTGTCCAGACACAGGACAGACACAAGACCAGGGTGCCAAGGCTGGGAGACTAAGAGCACGAAGACTGTATCTTGTAGAGAGGGCCAGAGATGCCCGTGTGGTAGGGCTGCTGGCGGGCACATTAGGTGTGGCTCAACACCGTGAGGCACTGGCACACTTGCGGAAACTGACTGAAGCTGCCGGGAAGCGTAGCTATGTGTTAGCCCTGGGGAAACCCACACCTGCCAAGCTTGCCAACTTCCCTGAGATGGACGTCTTTGTGCTGTTAGCCTGTCCCCTGGGAGCACTAGCCCCACAGCCTTCAGGTGGCTTCTTTCGGCCTGTATTGACACCATGTGAATTGGAGGCTGCCTGCAACCCCGCCTGGCCCCCTCCAGGCCTGGCTCCCCACCTCACACACTATGCAGAGCTGTTGCCTGGTGAGTGGCGGGGCCACATCTGGGCTCGGAAGTTGGGGCTTGGAGTTGAGAAACTGGGATAGCTTTCTTTTCTCCTTCCATTTCAGGTTCTCCCTTCCATGTGCCGCTCCCACCACCTGAGTCAGAGTTGTGGGACACCCCAGATGTGTCACTCATTTCTGGGGAGCTTCGACCGCCACCTCCTTGGAAGTCATCAGATGACACTAGATGTTCTGCCCTAACTCCAAGGCCCCAGCTGGAACTGGCCGAGAGCAGCCCTGCAGGTAAGCATGCAAATACCTATCCCCTGCTAGATTCTTGTCTGGGTCCAGCCCACACAGCTGTTCTCTTTCCCTCTGTAGCTTCATTCCTTAGTTCCCGGAGCTGGCAGGGGCTGGAGCCCCGCTTGGGCCAGACACCAGTGAAAGAGGCTGTCAGAGGAAGACGAGGTATTGCCATTGCCTATGAGGATGAGGGAAGCAGCTGATACCTTGTGAGGCCAGAGTCGTAGAGTGATAAGTCTGCTGGGACCTGTTCTCCCTGAACCACCTTCTCATCCTCTCACGGGGATACTTGACGCCTAGACAGAGGGAATATAGGTAGCTCCTCCCTGAGGAGCTGTCTAGCCTGTAGCCTGTGCTGCACTGGCTCAGCACATCAGTGCAGTAAGTGCCTGTTTGACTGACGGGTGTGGGGGGGAGGCACAGAGAGGGGTCCCAGGGCTGACCCCAATTCCTGAAGTGCAGTAGTAGTTCTGCCCTTGGTCAGGGGCAGGAGTTAGATGATCCAGAGTTCTTCCACGTCAGCGCTGTTGACAGTTTGGACAGAGTAATTCTTTACTTCAGAGGCTATTCTGTATAGAGAAGGATGTTTAGGATCAGCTGACAGAAGTCCCTCCCTTCCCCCCCTGAGCCCGGATAACCTAGATTATCTCTAGATGTTGGCAGACGTCATGTAACTGCCCCTGAGAACCGCTGGTGGAGACCGGCACTGTCCAAGACAGTGTGCATTGGATACATGGCTTTTGCCATTTAAAGTGGATGAAAAACTGTTTCTTGGTTACACTAATTATATTTCAAGCACTCACATGGCTGCTTGTGGGACTTTAGAGGACAGTTTCACGGTGGCACGAAGTTCTATTGGACAGTGATGGGCTACATTGACTCAGACTTGTTTCTTGGGACACCAAAGAAACTGAAATAAACGAAATACTTTTTCTCCTGTTTGTCTTTATTCACCAAAGCTTGGTTCTACACAGTTCCTGTGGATGGATATATGAGTTATATTTAACCAGATTACTGGTCGAGGCCAGCCTGGTCTACAGAGTGAGTTCCAGGACAGCCAGGGCTACACAGAGAAACCCTGTCTTGAAATACCCCCCCCCCCAAAAAAAAAGATATTGTCAGAATAAACAGAGTGAAAAGAACATTTGGGCCTAAACAAAGACTTCGATCAACATGGTGGGTGCTTCAACCAAAGTAGAGTTGTTGGAGGCTGGCATGTATTTTGATAGAGTGTTTGCCCTTGGTAGAGTGTCGGTCCTAGGGTTCCCAGTACGTGTGTGTGTGTGTGTTTGTGTGTGTTTATTGAATCCAAGAAGAAAACAAAATTTACTTACTGTCCACATTAGCCAAAGAATCTTATATTGGCACTATCCAGATCATGTAGTGCCCAGGCTAATAGTAAAGGCAGAGCTGTAAACTGATATGGGAACTGGGTTAAATGAGCATCAATCATGTATTCTGTGTGCATGTTATGAGGACCCATCTGTATGGCAGGCACTAGAAACAGTAGTGAGTCCAACAGAAACCATGCTGTTTCCACCTCCTGGGGAGAGTGGACAGAAACAAAACAAAACGTGCTATATCAACTGGAGATAAGAACTATGGGAAAGGGCTGGTGAGATGGCTCAGCGGTTGAGAGCACTGACTACTCTTCCAAAGGTCATGAGTTCGGATCCCAGCAACCACATGGTGGCTCACAACCACCCATAATGAGATCTGATGCCCTCTTAGGGTGTCTGAAGACAGCAACAGTGTATTTACATATAATAAATAAGTAAAAACCTTTGGGCCAGAGCGAGTGGGGCCGGAGCAAGCGGGGCCGGAGCAAGCGGGGCTGGAGCAAGCGGGGCTGGAGCAAGTGGGGCCAGGGGGGAAAAATAAATAAAAAGGTATAAAGCCATTTAAAAAATTTTTTAAAAAAATGGTTTTAAAAAAAGAACTATGGGAAAATAACTTATCAAGTAGTGATAAGAATTATGAGAAAACACAAATCTTGGAAAGAGAAGAGATTGTTTAAGGGAGATTGGGGTTGGAATATTAAACAGAATGAGTAAGGAAGGGCTTGAAGGTGAGCAAAGGTTGGAAGCTAGAGAGTGGGGCAAATGCAAGGGAAGGCTATGACTAAAAAGGAATAGCTAGAAGGGCAGTCTATTAGGGGCCTGGAGCTTAGCTCTGTTACAGTGCTTGCTTTGCATATTTTAGGATCCTAAGGATCTCTCTTCCATTCCGAGTGAAATAGGATCCACGGGGATTTGAACAGGAGAATGTCATGGCCTTATAAGATCACCTGGACCTCATAGGCATTCATGGCTGGCTCTCCACCCTACCTCTGGGTTAGGAAAGACAACTTAGAATGACCTCCTATGACCACCAGCAGGCATTAGCTAGGCAATGCAAAGACCACGAAATCCTGCTTCAAGCAGAGGGAACTAGTTAAGACTAGAATAGACTCGAAGGATCTGCAGTGACTGGAGAATAAACTAGTTCAGTGGGAAGTTGGGGAACGGGCAGCGCAGGTGGAGAACCAGTACCTGTCGCGAAGAGCTCCCGAGGAAACTACAACCACCACAGTGCTCCGCGGCATGACGTCTACCAGGGCTCGGTCTCAGACAGCCAGCCACTGTGCGCGGAGGTCACGTGGAGCCGGCGCATCACATGCGCCGGTCAGGTGGCGCTGCGGGGCGGGTCGACAGACTGCGGGGCGGACGGTGGACGCGGTTAAGCTCAGGTCCCACCGATCCGACCCCTTGCTGTCGCTGCTGCCATGACGGGGCTGGAGTTGCTCTACCTCGGGATCTTTGTGGCCTTCTGGGCCTGCATGATCGTCGTGGGTGAGCGGGGCCCAGGCGGGCCAAGGTGGCCTGCTGGTTGGGGCGGGGGGCAGGTGGCAGCCGGAGCCGGCCCAGCGCGGTGCCCTCCCGCGACGGAGGAGGCCGGCCCTGGGCTGCGAGAGCCACACTGGCCTTTCCAGGGTCGCGACACCAGGTTCTTGACCTCCTCTCGTCCGCGAGCCGCATATTTGGGCGCCCCGCTTCCTCTTTTTCCGCCTTGCCCTCCCCCCATTCTGACAGCTTGTTGGGTAAACACCGATTGGGCCGGCAGGATCTGGCGCGGCCTGGACGTAGCGCCCTTTTCCTCCAGCCCGTGAAGGGGTTTGGTGTCATTAAGACTGGCTACCTAGGGAGTGGCAAAAAAAAAAAAAAAAATGGAGGCCTGGGTGGAGGTGCTGTTTCGCTCCGGGACTCTTCGCTTGTCTAATTAGATGTAGGTGGCTGACAGTTTGACAGTTGGGCAGTTTTTTCTCCTCCTAGGTTGGGGACTGTGTCTCGAAAGAACAGGCCTTAAACTCTTTTCCCCATTTCTGCAGGAATCTGCTACACTATCTTTGACCTGGGCTTTCGCTTTGATGTGGCATGGTAAGGGAGGGCATGGAGAGGATTCTCCTAGGCGCCCCTCTGCTGTGGTCTGAGCCCCAGCCCAGCTCTCACACACACGGACCTTTGGGAAATATGAAAACTAGAGATGCAACGTCTGGGACTGGTGGGCTGGAGCTGGGTGCCAGCTGAGTTTTGTGTGGTCTCCCCACTCCTGCCCTTTCCTGACCACAGCTGAATCGCTTTCTTCCCTGTTTCCACACCAGGTTCCTGACGGAGACTTCCCCCTTCATGTGGTCCAATCTAGGCATTGGCCTAGCAATTTCTCTGTCTGTGGTTGGAGCAGCCTGGTGAGTGTTGGAGTGGTGGGACAAGTGGGAGGTGCCGAGTGGTGGCTGGTGGAATCATCACTCGGTTCTTAATCATCCTGAGGACAGCGACTACTTGGGCTCCTTTAATCAGTTTCTTAACCTTTCACCAGGGGAATCTATATTACCGGCTCTTCTATCATTGGGGGTGGGGTGAAAGCCCCCCGAATCAAAACCAAGAACTTGGTTAGGTAAGTGTAAAGGCTTTTGAATGTCAAAACTAGCTGCGATGGAGGTCTGATGACATACTGGCTTGTGACCAGTCTCATCGTAGCGTGTATGTGAGTCAAGGGAAGTTGGCTGGGGATTTTCTGAAGAAATGGCTGATTTCCTTCTTATCTCTTTTCTCTACCCCTCCCCCAACATTTGCCATTATGGTTGCCAGCATTATCTTCTGTGAAGCAGTGGCCATCTATGGCATCATCATGGCAATTGTCATCAGCAACATGGCTGAGGTAAGGGAAAACCGGCAGGGCTAGGCATCCATTGAAATGTCTATGCTCTCCCTAAAGATTGGAGGGAAGAGAAGGTAGGTGCATTATGGGATGCCTTCTGAGAACTTACTCTGTCTCTCACAGCCTTTCAGTGCTACTGACCCCAAGGCCATTGGCCATCGAAACTACCATGCAGGTAAGTGGGCAACATCGAGGTCTGTCTTGCCAGGCGTGGGACTTTGGGCCTTTAATCCCAGTACTGAGAGGGGCGGCACCAAGGGAGTTAGAGGCCAGCCACCACTACATAACTATAGTGAGACGCCCCACCATACAGACATGTTGGGGCTTTACACACTTGCTCCTGCTTCCCGGCTCCAGACCCCTTCCACAGTCTCAGTTGCCTTCCTGCGCTCTGCAGAGGTGGAGGGGGATCGGCCCTGTTAGCCCACATTGGCCCATTCATCTCCTGCTTGCCTCGGCCTCACCTGAGCTACTTCTTATCCTCCAGGCTACTCCATGTTTGGGGCTGGCCTCACAGTCGGTCTGTCCAACCTCTTCTGTGGAGTCTGCGTGGGCATCGTGGGCAGTGGGGCCGCCCTGGCCGATGCGCAGAACCCCAGTCTCTTTGTAAAAATTCTCATCGTGGAGATCTTTGGCAGTGCCATTGGCCTCTTTGGGGTCATTGTCGCGATCCTTCAGGTGCGAATCCCCCTAGGGACCTATGGCTTCTTTGCCCTTGGCTGCAGCCCTGCTTTACTCTGCTCAGAGGAACAGAAGTGCCTCCCTTCTTTACCCAAGCCATGTCCCGTCTCTTGTCCCCCTTGTCTGCTGCTTTATATGCACTGTCCCTCCTTTAGTCCATTTGCATCTCTTTCCTCTGCTGTCTCTGAAAATGTCGTCTTTGTGGCATTTCTCTCTCAGGGTCTGTGTTAGTATGTGTATGACATGCTTGTCAGTAGAATAGCATATCTAAATTCCTGTTTTGTCAGTGTGTGAGTTTGTGACTGAGAGACTGGCCTAAAGGTCTAAATGTGATTTAGGGTGCTTGACTGGGTTGACTCTTGGGGACACTGGTACTGTCTCTGGGGACGTTTTTTCTTTGTTGTACAGCTGAACTCCTTTGTTACTATCCATGTCTGTCTGTCATAGTGTCTGTCCTTGTTTGGTCATCCATCTGTGGTCTGTCTGTCCTCCCACTGGCTTACTGGTTCTGATCTTGCCACTGGTCACTGTCCCTGCCTGATTTGTCCTGTTCTTCTTTTGCAGACCTCCAGAGTGAAGATGGGTGACTAGATGACCGGTATGGGTGGGGCCGTGCCCCACTGTTATTTATTGCTGGTTTTCCTGGGACAGCTGGAGCTGTGTCCCTTAGCCTTTCTGGGGCTTGGTGTTCAGGGCCCTCGTGCACTCACCTCTGTCAGCCTGTTGACTTTGGAGGCATTGCAGTCCAGACTGAACCCCAGTGTGGGGAGTGGGCTACTGATGGTGACTGTGTACAGCTGTGCACTAGTGGCCCCCCGACCCCCATCCAGCCCATCTTCCTAGTGTTTGTGAAATAAACTTGGTATTTGTCCCAGTCAGTGAGGCTTCTGTTAGCCCCTTGCGACACCTTTCACAGAGGAAGGGTAGGGCGTATGCACTCACTCCAGCCTCTTGTAACTTTCTATCTACACACTATCTCTGCTCTTGACATTGCTGGCTCCTGGGTGGGAGGTAGCCACCCAGGCTGTGATGCTGGAAGAATCTGGGCTCTAAGATTCTCCTAGCCCTATATCCTTGGACCCCTGTGCACCAGATCCAAACTCACTTCAGCTAATTCTCTCTGGCACTGTACTGAAACTCCCCACACTGTGTCTTCACTGGAGCTCAGGTTTTTACTTTTCTTGATAGTCCTGTATGAACACCTAACCCTCCCAGAAACCTCTTCTCTGTGGTCTTAGTTTCTGGAGCCCTGTTTAGCTCCGCCTATTCCTATACCACTCTTTCCACCCCAATCTTACCCAACCTGCTTTCACCCAAAAGTCCTTTTCATACAACACCTTTAAGGGTCTACCCAGCAGGTAGCCCTGGTTAGCTGACCTTGACTCTGGGCTCCCAGGAAAGAGTTGACAAGGCCCTAACCCTCTGAGTCGCCTACTATCCAGACCCCCTCCCAACTACCTAAAGGGCCGAGCCATCCGGCTCCTGGTCTCTTTACATCCCTAAGGCAAGCTAGTGGAGGAACCTGATGGATGCCTGCGCCCTTCCTGGGTCTCCCGACATCTGCAAAAGCACCTCCCCGCTGGCTGGGCCGCGCAGGGCCAACGGCAGGGGCGGGCGGCGGAGCGGCGCGCGGCGCGT